AACAAGCTTTGCCATCTCCTGCACATATATGCCTATACTTTCACTGTCAAACAGCACAAAATACACAGTCTTGATTGAAGAGGACATCGTAGACACAAAATAGTTAGAAATAGCTTTCAGGATGAGTTGCGCAGCTGTTTGCTTAGGAAATCCATTTCTGCAGGTAACAAAAACAAGGGAGGGTTAAAGTGATAGCAACATTAGTTATTATTATTACATAGTATTTATATAGCGCCAACAGTTTGCGCAGCGCTTTACAATATAAGGAAGACATTACAGTTACAATACAATTCAAGGGGCAGGGGCCCTGCCCCTGCGGGCTTACAATCTGAAAGAGGAGGGGGAAATGATACATGAGTTATCACCATAATAACTATCAGTATTTTTATAATGCAGGTCCTACCCACCTTTGACCCTTATAAATCATCTAAAAAAGCTGGCCAAACACTGATCAAATTTCAATCCGAGTTGAGCGCATTCGGATAAAATTCAACCAGTGTGTGGTCCTGTTGAGACCCCCCGTTTTGATAATATGAAAGGTGAATAATGCAAAGGGTAACACAGACCTGCAAGTAAAAATGCACACACAATTTTTAGCTTGCAATTACAAAGTGTTTGCACTGAAAAAAATAGAATTTAGTTGTTCTTTAAGTCAATAGTGGATACCCCTGTATGTCCAAGGAGGGAAAATAGGCTATGTGCTTAAAATTTCCAACCTAGCCAATAGATGATGGCAATCCAGATAAAATTGGTTATGTACAAATGCAGGTACATCACAGAGGATATCCAACATCTAGTTGCTCTTTCAGGGTCTGCATATGATACTTTGGTGGAATAAGGTAGACCTATATATTCAAACATTCCATATCAAGAGAAAAAAAACAATTTTCAAAACAGTTTTGTCAGGTTACCATTCTTTAAATACACTTAACAATATTATTTTCTGGAAAGCAAAATCAAATTTTCTGAGAGTTATGATTTTTTCATATCAACACATTATGTTGGTATAATTTGCATCTTTGCGTACTAAAATAAACATTATTTCACAAATCTACCTTGTGCTTATAAATAATCGATATTGATGTAATGGTGCAAAAAACTCAAAATCAATCCAGTCATTGGGGATATACAAAAAATTACTCAAGCTCTGAGCCAAACTCGGATCTCAGTCTCAAAGCTTGGCTAATTGATAAAAATAGGAGCAAAATTAGTGACAGTGTTGTCCAGACTAAACTGGTCAGTTTTCAGCTATTATTCCTTTGGAATGATTCAGGAATGAAAGCTAAGTGTTTAAATTATGGCTTGTAAGACAATAAGATTGTTTGTTTCATACTGAGAGGAAAAATACAAAGCCACATAGGGGTACAATCAAAGAACCACAACATTTACAAAATATTTCTTTCATGTCATTCACATACAAAAGACAATACACTCCCAACTACAACCTATTTAATTTTATAACTCATTCAAAATAAAATTATTTAAAAAAATCCTCTAAATTAACTAAGTTAGGACAATGCCTCAGATATAGTGCATCAACAGAAGTAATGTCAGCTATCAGTGCCAAATATTTTAGAAAGGTCAAGTGGAATCCTTGCTTTCCTCAAATAATTTTTTTCTAAAATTGCAGTGCAGTTTTGCAAAAAAGAGCTAAAGGTTTTGAAAGGTTTAGTTTGCATCAAGCTTTGCCATCTCCTGCACATATATGCCTATACTTTCACTGTCAAACAGCACAAAATACACAGTCTTGATTGAAGAGGACATCGTAGACACAAAATAGTTAGAAATAGCTTTCAGGATGAGTTGCGCAGCTGTTTGCTTAGGAAATCCATTTCTGCAGGTAACAAAAACAAGGGCGGGTTAACGTGATAGTAACAAGCTTTGCCATCTCCTGCACATATATGCCTATACTTTCACTGTCAAACAGCACAAAATACACAGTCTTGATTGAAGAGGACATCGTAGACACAAAATAGTTAGAAATAGCTTTCAGGATGAGTTGCGCAGCTGTTTGCTTAGGAAATCCATTTCTGCAGGTAACAAAAACAAGGGAGGGTTAAAGTGATAGCAACATTAGTTATTATTATTACATAGTATTTATATAGCGCCAACAGTTTGCGCAGCGCTTTACAATATAAGGAAGACATTACAGTTACAATACAATTCAAGGGGCAGGGGCCCTGCCCCTGCGGGCTTACAATCTGAAAGAGGAGGGGGAAATGATACATGAGTTATCACCATAATAACTATCAGTATTTTTATAATGCAGGTCCTACCCACCTTTGACCCTTATAAATCATCTAAAAAAGCTGGCCAAACACTGATCAAATTTCAATCCGAGTTGAGCGCATTCGGATAAAATTCAACCAGTGTGTGGTCCTGTTGAGACCCCCCGTTTGACAAACGACAGTCTGAAAATTCTCGGCTCAAAAGTGACGGCCGCTAATGATCTGCAGTCAGCATTCGGTGATGCAGGATGGGGAGTTTGGTAATCCCCCATGCAGGTTGTTAGCGGGAATGGGAAAATCTAGAGGTTATGTTATGTTTGTTAAGCCTGCAGGGCTGAATGAGAAAAAACTCCAAGTGTATGGCCAGCTTATGTCTCTAACCAGGGACATTGTCACTCTCGGACCTGGACAGCTATATTAGGCTTCATTGGTGAAGAGTTAAAGGAGAACTATGAGGTGAGTGCTTTTCACTCACCTCATAGTTCTAGCCGACCTGTGACAATGAGACTGTCAAAGGTCGGCTCAGTAGATCAGGAGGTGAGCGAACACATACCGGGTTTGCTCGCCTCTCGATCCTGTCACGGCTCTCTGCCGTGACAGGATTGGGACGCCTGCCTTTACACGCACATGAACTTTAATGGCATCCTTGGTCCGTAGGGTATAATATTGAGTTGGCCCACCCTTTGCAGCTATAACAGCTTCAAGTCTTCTGGGAAGGCGTCCACAAGGTTTAGGAGTGTGTCTATGGGAATGTTTGACCATTCTTCCAGAAGCAATTTGTGAGGTCAGGACTGATGTTGGACGAGAAGGCCTGGCTTGCATTCTCCGCTCTAATACATCCCAAAGGTGTTCTACAGGGTTGAGGTAAGGCCAGTCAAGTTCCTCCACCCCAAACTCGATCATCCATGTCTTTATGGACCTTGCTTTGTGCACTGGTGTGCAGTCATGTTGGAAAAGGAAGGGGCCATCCCCAAACTGTTCCCACAAAGAGTTTCCTTCACTGGAGCTGAGGGGCCAAGCCCAACCCCTGAAAAACAACCCCACACCATAATCTCCCCCTTACCTGGCACAATGCAGTCAGGCAAGTATCGTTCGCCTGGCAACCGCCAAACCCAGACACGTCCATTGGATTGCCAGAGAATCGTGATTCGTCACTCCAGAGAACACGTCTCCACTGCTCTAGAGTCCAGTGGAGGCATGCTTTACACCACTGCATCCGACGCTTTGCATTGCACTTGTTGATGTAAGGCTTGGATGCAGCTGCTTGCCCATGGAAACCCATTCCATGAAGCTCTCTACACACTGTTGTTGTGCCAATCTGAAGCCCACACAAAGTTTGGAGGTCTGTAGCTATTGACTCTGCAGATAGTTGGCGACTTCTGCGCACCATGCGCTTCAGCATGCCGCCGACCTCGCTCTGTCATTTTACGTGGCCTACCACTTCGTGGCTGAGTTGCTGTTGTTCCCAGTTGCTTCTACTGTGTTATATTACCGCTAACAGTTGAGCGTGGAATATTTAGTAGCAAGAAATTTAATGGATGGACTTATTGCACAGGTGGCAACCTATCACGGTACCACTTTAAAGGAGAACTATGAGGTGAGTGCTTTTCACTCACCTCATAGTTCTAGCCGACCTGTGACAATGAGACTGTCAAAGGTCGGCTCAGTAGATCAGGAGGTGAGCGAACACATACCGGGTTTGCTCGCCTCTCGATCCTGTCACGGCTCTCTGCCGTGACAGGATTGGGACGCCTGCCTTTACACGCACATGAACTTTAATGGCATCCTTGGTCCGTAGGGTATAATATTGAGTTGGCCCACCCTTTGCAGCTATAACAGCTTCAAGTCTTCTGGGAAGGCGTCCACAAGGTTTAGGAGTGTGTCTATGGGAATGTTTGACCATTCTTCCAGAAGCAATTTGTGAGGTCAGGACTGATGTTGGACGAGAAGGCCTGGCTTGCATTCTCCGCTCTAATACATCCCAAAGGTGTTCTACAGGGTTGAGGTAAGGCCAGTCAAGTTCCTCCACCCCAAACTCGATCATCCATGTCTTTATGGACCTTGCTTTGTGCACTGGTGTGCAGTCATGTTGGAAAAGGAAGGGGCCATCCCCAAACTGTTCCCACAAAGAGTTTCCTTCACTGGAGCTGAGGGGCCAAGCCCAACCCCTGAAAAACAACCCCACACCATAATCTCCCCCTTACCTGGCACAATGCAGTCAGGCAAGTATCGTTCGCCTGGCAACCGCCAAACCCAGACACGTCCATTGGATTGCCAGAGAATCGTGATTCGTCACTCCAGAGAACACGTCTCCACTGCTCTAGAGTCCAGTGGAGGCATGCTTTACACCACTGCATCCGACGCTTTGCATTGCACTTGTTGATGTAAGGCTTGGATGCAGCTGCTTGCCCATGGAAACCCATTCCATGAAGCTCTCTACACACTGTTGTTGTGCCAATCTGAAGCCCACACAAAGTTTGGAGGTCTGTAGCTATTGACTCTGCAGATAGTTGGCGACTTCTGCGCACCATGCGCTTCAGCATGCCGCCGACCTCGCTCTGTCATTTTACGTGGCCTACCACTTCGTGGCTGAGTTGCTGTTGTTCCCAGTTGCTTCTACTGTGTTATATTACCGCTAACAGTTGAGCGTGGAATATTTAGTAGCAAGAAATTTAATGGATGGACTTATTGCACAGGTGGCAACCTATCACGGTACCACGCTTGAATTCAATGAGCTACTGAGAGGGACCCAATCTTTTACAAATGTTTGTAGAAGCAGTCTGCATGCCTAGGTGCTTGATTTTATACACCTGTTGCCATGGAGGTGATTGGAACACCTGAATCCAATGATTTGGAGGGGTGTCCCAATACTTGCATTATAGTGGTGTGCTGTCTAAATGGAAACACATAAAAATATAAAGGGGTTTTCTCAAATTTGACTGCAAATGTGGAACTGCACTTTATAACAAACTTGGGCCAATCTCCACTGTTTTTTCCAATCTCCCATTTTTTGGTGGAATATTAGTGGACATTTTGTTTTGGCTTGTACTGCTTTGAAGCATTACCATTAAATTGTATTTGTTTTTTTCCAGCACTGTACTTGGTCAATCTTCACCTAATCCACAGAACTGTAAGAACATTGTATATACACAACTAGGTCTTTATTGCTGTCTCTCGTGAAAAGATTCACAAATTGGGCAAATTGGGCAAACTGACAAACTGACATGCTTATTTATGAACATTATTTATGACTATTAAAATAAGTTATTTTTATAAAAATGATCTCTGTTTTATATTTGTTTCTTTTAAGCATTGGGTTGGATTACAGGTGTGTGTCCACTCAGATTACATTTATGGTGCGCACTTTCAACGATTTCATAATGTAGAAAATACTTTCTTAATGCACTACTATCTTTCGATAAAAATCACCTCAATTTTGTGAAGGTTTTTTTTTAGAAAGATAGAAAGAAATTTAGGGCTGAGTATTTTTAACCCTGTGGAGTAGGTCATTAAATGTGTGTCAATAATTGGGGCATGAATGGGCACCATAGGAAAAGATCAAAGAAATGTGAAAATTAAAAAAAAAAAAGTCTGCTGCCCTCTAAAAATTTTCAAAAGTGTGTCCTATAAACAGAACCAGGCCAATCTTATTGTATGTATTGGCTATTGTGAGTTTTTCTCATCTGAAAGCACAGTTAACAAGTTTATTACATTCTGCACTAGAAAATGTTGCCTTCATTTAATGGATAGTGACAGCAAGACTATTTATGATGGATAAAAATGTAAAAAGAAGGCTCTTAGACTACAAATATGGGATTTGTACCACAGATAGAAATATTGTGTAAAAATTGTGTTTTATTTCAGTTATATAGACATAATTCTTATTCCTCTCCTTGAAGTAGAATGTGATTTATTTTATCCTCCTGTTCAAGGCATAATCCTATTCTCCATTTATAAAGAGGATTTAAGCTCTTTCTGTTGCTTTCAAAAGTTATGTCTGCCTAACAGATGTTTCGAGTTCCACTGCTAACCAATTACAGTGCTGTATGTTGTTTTCACAATGCATTTAACTTGGAGGTTTTTCTCTATATAAAATTCATTTCTGTAATGATTTTGTGTCAATATTTGAAACAGCTTTACAATGATATAACTTCAGTAAAAAAAAAGAAAACACAAAATGTCAGACTTGCTTGCTTGACACATAAATAGTTTGTCAATATTGTCTACAGCTTTGCAATATAGAACTTCTGTGAACGGAACACACAATGCAAGACTTTCTTTCTTCTAATATAAACTGTTATAGTCACCAGAAAGCATATGCTGATGCATTACATAGTACATTTTCACATCAGCAACTTTTTAGACTGAACAAACGTGCTGTATCCTAATTCTGTACAGTGGTGCTAACAGTATGGTAAAATTATCTGTATGTATTTTTTAAAGAATGGTAAAAACTCTGCTTTTCTATGATATAATGAATAAGCTATCATCTCCTGTAGAAGTCATCAAAATGTATAATACAAAATGATACATCATAAGATCAAGTCTATGCACATAGAAGGATCTAAGACTTTCAACTTGTGTTCAAAATTCTATGAGAAGCTTAGAAACCCCGTTACTAGTATCACAAAATGCAACCAGCAGCCCCCTGCAAAAAACAATATTGAAGACTTGCATTAAAGGCCAACAGTAAGTCCATTCTTTGGTCTCTTGCAAAGATTTGAGCACTGCTGCTGAGACTTCCAGATGTGTCAGATAGTGTGTACACCTCTGGGCACTGTGGCTCCTTCCACCAGTCAGTA